CCCGCCCTTCTCCGCCTCGGTGGCTCTCCTCCTCCATATGGGCCCTCTTTTTTTTGTCCTTCTCCCCCCTTCTGCCGTCCATCATTCGCTCCCTTCCCCTCTCTTACCCATGTGTTGCCCTCTGCTCCGCCTCATCTCTCCCAAACAGACGGCCTGTAAGTGTGCTCAAACATCCTTTCTCGGGTGCGCATGCGTGCGTGTGACTGGCCGCATTTTGTGGCCTCGCCGCTCTTGCTTTCGTCCCTCTCTGCGCTTGAGAAAGGGGATCTCCCCCTTCGATGGCATATGCGCATGCCGTGAATGTGTGTCGGCTGGGGGGGGGGGGGGGGGGGGCTGCGTATATGAATGTATGTGTGTGTGCGCGCGCGTGCATGCGCGCCGCTCCATCTATCTTCAGCCCTGCGCGCGCCGATCACTGCCCCTTCTTTGACAATTGCCCAGCACGCGATTTGTTCAGCAAGTGCCCTTGTGAATTCCAGCTTTTTAAAAATAAAACGATCAAACTTTCCGAACACAACGGAGGTGCCGCGACGTGTGCTCTTCCGATCTGGGGGCGGCTGCGTATATGAATGTATGTGTGTGTGCGCGCGCGTGCATGCGCGCCGCTCCATCTATCTTCAGCCCTGCGCGCGCCGATCACTGCCCCTTCTTTGACAATTGCCCAGCACGCGATTTGTTCAGCAAGTGCCCTTGTGAATTCCAGCTTTTTAAAAATAAAACGATCAAACTTTCCGAACACAACGGAGGTGCCGCGCGGCGCACTCGCACGCGGCCTTGTGCCTGGCAATGCGCAGCCCATGTGCGGTCTGAGACCCACACACACACACACAGGTGCAGGGCACCAATGACCCGACGGAGAGAGGGAAAAGTCTTGCCTGGTCGGAGAGCAATCCATTCGCTCCTCCCCCGCCCCTCTCTTCGCCCGGCTTATATGAAAAGGACATCCAAAATGGAGAGAGTATGCTTCGCATACATCTTCTCGCTGCGACGCCGAAATGAGGCTCGAAACATGTCTCCCGCCCCCCCCCCCCTACCCTCGGTCTCTTTTGTGGCGGTATCTCACGGTACAGAGCGATAGGCATGTCTAGTCTTGGCCGGGTCAAGGCGGTCACAAAGGAAAGAGCACGAGGCTCACTGGATGCGCTCCTCGCCCTCGCGGACCTCACGCAGAGACAGGAACTTCAGCTGAACCTGACCGCGGGTCTCCTGATTGAGGGTATCATTCAGAGGGCCAAAGGCACCGGGGTCGATCAGGGCCGTGAGCTGGAAGTCCGACGAATAATCCTCGCTCTCGATTGAAGAAAACAGCGGGCGGATTTTTTCCTGGCACACAGCCCCAGGAGAGGGACATCAGGGAGTCGGAGGGATGCAAGAGAGAGAGAGAGAGACAAAGGAGTTAGTTCCCGGTTTAAAGCCGAGGCCGCACGATCCCGGGCAAGGGTCGACCCTGGCAGGGGGGGGGGGGGAGCCCAAAATAAGGTGCATCACGCACCATCAGGCGCTTGGCGTCGCGGGCCGAGTCCATCGTCACGGAGACACGCATCTGCGCGCGAGAGATCGGCAGGACGCCGCTGGTCCGCAGAGTACGGATGGCCTCCAGGGCCTGCTGCTTGACGGCGTTGGTGCTGCTGCTGGCGCTGCCGCCGGCATTGGCCTTCGGCGTGAATTTGGCACTGGTCATGGCCTTCTGGATCATGGTCACCGGGTACGGACGGTTGGTCTCCGGGTTGATGCACATGTCCGACACCATTTGGGCCACCTCGCGCGAAAGGTTCTCCGAGTGCTGCTGGCGCTCGCGCTCGGCGACCTGGAACTCGCCCTTCTCGAGGATCTGCCCCCACGCAGAAGAAGAGGAGTTAGCATGGGATGGGCGAGGAGCCGGCGCCGATAGGCAGACATGGCTAATGGGTCGGGACACACCTCGAGGATGATCTTCTTCACGTCGTCCGTCTTGAAGGCCTTCATCAGCTGCTCCTTGTTGGGGACGGTGCCACGCGAGACATTCAGGAAAACGTTGTCGATCTGAAGGACATTGTCGATGTTGGTCTCGCTGCGAACAAAGATTTAGTGGGGTTTGGGGAGGGAGGGAGAGCGAGCGAGAGAGCCAGAGCGGAGGGGAGAGATGACGCGATAGAGGAGCGACACCCGAGGGAAAGGTGCGGACAGTAGCACAGAGGCCGGTGATTAGTCAGGCGCAGCAGGGACCAGGCTCTCGGGG